GAACAATTCATAAAGTGCCACACAAATAATCAAACATTCGTTTTATCAGTTTTGACAAAGCTAAAAACTTTGAGTGAACTAAAATAAAAATATATATTTAGCTTTAGAACTGGTCAGATAAATTTACTTTACATGTTACATGTTTTAAATACTCTGAATACGAATCCAGCCTATGTGATGTTCACTGATCATGAGTTCTTATTTTATGTTTGCACACTCATGGTTGACTGTATCTGTCACTGTGCAACCTTAAATAATTGCCTTTTTAACTAGTTTTAGTCAGTGTCCAGTTAAACATTGTCTCAGTAAACCATTGACCACTGGGTGGCCATGAACTATGTCAACTGACAAGACAAAAAAAAAACTCCCACAAGGTTAGGTGACAGCCCTTAGCTGGAGGCTCCTCCCTTCCTTTTTGCTTCCTTTGCCTGATGTGGGTCAGTGAGTGTGCACTAGTGATGTGAGCATGAATCAGTAGTGAGCCTGAGGCTAAATTAGTCTGAACTCCTGCAAAACACCTCCGCTTCAAAACTGCACACAAATGCATCAAATATTATAACAAACATGGATTTTTCCTCATTCATAAAATGTTCAGCCTTTTTTTTTTCTGCTGCACTTTTAACACAGAACCACAGAGTTGACCTTCTCTCTCACATTATTTACTTACATTCATTAGGCACACACCGTACGCACAGAAACAATGAAATGTCCTGGGTTTTTCACTTCAGGTGCAGTTTTGAAAAGGTAACTTTGCAGCTAAAAGTAAAGCTTTGATTAGAAACAAAAAATAGGTCAGGGATGGGCAACTTAAATGATGGCAGGGCCACAATTTGTTGTTGACACTAMCAGAGGAACATACCCAAATGTAAAAAAACTGCTATCTTAAAAAATGTGTGTGTTTATTTGTGACCCATCACAACGCAATAAGGATTAAGTCCAAAAGTGGAGAAACAGGCAGTTTTGATTTAAATGTGTGCAAAAATTGCATTTTGTCAAAATATAACGAATTAATGCCTTATCAGTGAATCATTTGAATGAACTGTGAAATATAATCCTAAAATTTTTTTGAAGCATTTTTTGAGCAGTAGCAACAAAACAAATGATTTAGAGGAAAAACGCCTTAAAATTTAGAATTTTTCCCTGCAAGCTAACAATGTTTTTGTTTCTTTACAACTGGGAAATCTGAATATAAGAATAATATTTGAGGTTTCTTCTTTATATTACCATCAAAAATTACTCAATAAACTTACATAAAATTAAGCTTCAAACCAAACAGTAATGTCATTTTGTAACCAACAAGACAAATGAAGTCAGATCTCTGGACATTTTTTACACATAATTGTAATGTTCAAAAATTACTTCAAGCCAAGGGTTCTTTATACAAGTTGTTGCTCAAGGAGTTTAACCTTTTTTTGTTTTGTTTTTGTTATTTGAACAGTAGTTTTTTTTGTTTTGTTTTTTTAAAGAAAAGGGGCAGAATGTTGTTTAAATTTATTTGTATTTTTATATTCTTCATTTTTTATTAATTTTTTTTCTTGTTTAAATTAATTTTTTAAGAAAAGGGGCAGAATG